TCAGTCATGAACCATGTATCATCAGAATGTATCCGCTGTGTCATTGGCATTGTCATGTATCGTCACCCCTTTGTCATGTGATCGTCGCACTGTTGTCATGTCATCGTCGTCCTGTTGCCATGTCGTCGTCGTCCTGTTGCCATGTCGTCGTCGTCCTGTTGTCATGTCGTCGTCGTCCTGCTGTCATGTCGTCGTCGTCCTGTTGTCATGTCGTCGTCGTCCTGTTGTCGCACCATTGTCGTTTCATTGCCGGCGTCATTTCAGCTATACAATAGTGTATAGCTTTCGAATGTAGCTAAGTTAAAACCTTTCTTTGAGGGCGAGGGTTCGTTTAGCCCCCTCTTTTGGGGTCGTTTATCCCCCCGTTTACGTAGGAATAGTTTTCAGTCAGCAGTCTTGCGCAGCCAGTCTGCACACAGAGGTCTTGGACACACAGGTCTCGGACAGAGAGGTCTCAGACACACAGGTCTCGGACACAGAGGTTTCGGACACAGAGGTCTCGGACACAGAGGTTTTTGAAACAGAGGTTTTTGAAACAGAGGTCTCGGACAGAGGTCTCGGACACACAGGTCTTGGACAGAGGTCTCGGACACACGGTTCGTGGACAGAGGCTGAGACCATTCAAACAGTGCATTCCAACGGTGCATACCGTTTGTGAGCCACCGAGGATAACATTTAGACGAGAGAAGTGCCACTCCACCGGCGCATACCTTTTCTGCGCCACCGGAAAGAAAAAAATAGAGTCTTGGACATAGGTCTCGGGCATAGAGGTCTTGGACACAGATGTCCCGGACTTAGAGGTCTCTCACACAGAGCTCTCGGACATAGAGCTCTCGGAGATGCATGTGTCTATATGAGGTGTTGGACATAGGTCTCGGACATAGAGTTCTCGACCACACAGGTCTCGGACATTCATGTCTCGGACATAGAGGTCTCCGACACAGGGGTCTCGGACACAGGTCTTGGACATACAGGACACAGAGGTCTCGGACGCGCATGTATCTATAGGAGGTCTCGGACATAGGTTCTCGGACATTTAGAGCTGGTCCACCAGGAGGAGGATGGGGTAGCCCAAGGTGAATGCGTTCGGCGGCAGCATGCCGCTCTCCCTCTATTATGAGTTGGTTCCTGGCCGCATCTCCTGCTGGAAGGTTCCTGAAGGGATAGATCTCGTGGGCATTGATTCCGAAGGGGTAGGTCCACGAGGTTCGTAGCTTCAGACATAGAGGTCTCGGACTCGGAGGTCTCAAACACAGAGGTTTAAAAGACAGAGGTCTCGGACATAGAGGTGTTGGAAATGGAGGTCTTGGACACAGAGGTCTTGGACACAGAGGTCTCGGACACAGATGTTTCGGAGGGATACGAAGGGTGTCAAGAAGCGAGGGGGCGGGTTGGTTTTGCCAGAGGTTTACATATATTATATGAGCCTCGGTCAAAACATGCGAAGACCACTTTAGTAAAGAGGGGTAGGTTTGAGCACAAAAGCCTGCAAAACGATAAGGTCCACCTCAAAACCGATAACCCCAGCGCTGTATATGATCATAAGTATGCGACGAACTCAAAACACTGTAAAACGATAAGGTCCAACTCAAAACCGATGACGTCCATTTTTTGTTGAAGAAGAATAAGGAGTTTTGACCGTCCCTCATATGTATTTGACAAGAAATCTTCTGTCAAGCCTTCGGAATCTTGTTTTGAAGCGGTTTCTTCCGCTTGCATCCGCAAAGGGATCCAAAAGGCTCCACTGTTCTTGGCCTCCAAAATCGGTACCAAGCGTAGCGTAAGTGTCGAAAGTGCTTCACAAGAAATAACGTTAATAGACCCCACCCGAACCCAAACCCAAACCCCTGGACAACGTCAGATCAGAGACACAGAAGAGACCAAGCGTAGCGTAAGTGTCGAAAGTGCGTTCACATGTTAATAGACCCACCCGAACCCAAACCCAAACCTAGACTGCCCAGCGGTGCTCTGGTCAAACCTTTACGATCATCGGCTCATCCTGACTATATATGTTGGATAAGATGAGCTGTTGTGCACAACGGTGTATCCAGCCAAACCACTTTCTCCAACCATGGGTTGGGTTAAATGCTTGATGTGATTTTGCACTTCTTGAGGGGTTTGTGCATGGTTTTGTGTGATCAGGAAGATTTGCTCAGCGCGCATTTAGAGGTGTGATCAGCAAAAGCAGCGTTGGAGGGTATGGCTTTGTTTTGCCTAGAAGGTTTGTTCTAAGTCCAGCGCGCAATTGAGAGATGTCAGCAAAAAGCAACGTTGGAAGATATACGGCCCTGTTTGGCCTTGAATGTTTGTTTTCATGTTTGGCTGTGCTGGAGGGCCTTTTTTCCACTTCTCTTGACTCCGGCTTGGTGGAATCACTCGAAGTCTTGACCTTTGAAACTTTTTTTCCCGCCCGGAGACATTTTTTTGTTGGCATTTGTGCGCCGGATGTTTTCCATGGACCAGCTGCTCGAGGCACAAAGTTGCAAGTCTCGCAGACAACTCACTTTACAACTCACTAGACAACTCACTAGGTAGCTCCACATGCACCGCAAGACAAACTAGACAGTCACACAGTCAGTGCACTTTTAGTTAGCAGCGGTGAATGGTCAAGGCCAAGGCGGCAAAGCCTAGGCCTACGGCAGCAAAACCTAGGCCTAAGACAGCCAAGGCCAAACCAAAAGGCGAAAGCAAGCCTAACAGCAGATCCGGCCCTTCTGGTTGGAAACGGTGGCGGGACAAACGCGTTGACAAGCCTGCTCCCGAGAGAAAGTCCAAGGCCACGCAGACTGTGCCAGAGCCAAGTCGAAGAACGTCCAGACTCAGACTGTTAGGCCTTGCACAACCACGCAGGGTTGCCAAGCTGGGGCGCAGACGCAGGTGAGGTCGCGAGAGGTGCAGACTGCGATTAAAGGCCGGTCCTTTTTTTCAGGGTCATACTAAGACGACATGTATCCTGGACATGATTGTTCTTCTTTTGCGTCTCTCCGTCTCTCCGCTACCACACCGTGAATGAATGTGAGCGCGTCTGCGCCGCTGACCAGGCTTAAACTTTGTATGAGCTGGCGACGACTTGTGGCCAGCGCCAGACCCAGGTGCGCCACACCCTCGAGCCTGCATGGTCATCATTTGGAGTTCTCTAGTTTTGTTTGGCGGTTTTATCGTCCGAGGTCATGTCACGGAATTACAGTACATTTTTCGATAGTAACACTTAAGGGGTGTGTAGCGTTGCGAGTGTACACTCATGTGAAAGCTCATGCGCAGGTTTTCTAGCAGTTCAAACCCGCCGTTCGTTTGCAGAACTTTTGGCCCTTGAGTAGTGTTTCCCCGGCACTTCTTGTGGAGTTGGAATGGCGTGCGCGGTGATTAGAATCAACCGCCTAAAGAACCGGAAGAAGGATTCAACATCCAAATGCTTAAGGCGACCAAAACGACCGATTCCTGGGCAGAAACTGGGTCATCATTTGACCTTTCGGTTGAAGCGCTGGACCTTGCCACCAGTCCTGGCTCAATTGTTTTTTGGCTGAATCGAGAGGCTCTGAAGTGAAACTTCAGTCTGAAGCCAACAAGAACTCATTGGTTCTTATTTCGAGCTATCTGTGAGGAGTTCATGTTCCAACCAGGTCTTGTGAAGATTGAACCTTTTAATGCGCAATCAAAAATCTTTATGCAGAATGACAGTTGTAGAAAACAGCTCTTTCCCAAGACCTTCTCGGCCCAGGCTGCACGTGCTGACGATGAGTGGGCTTCCACTTTCGCTTCTTTGCTTGGTGGAGTGCGTGGCCAATTCGATGAGCCGCCCAGAGACAGTCTACTGCTTAGATGGGTGTCAGAGAAATAAAAGCACACTGCTTATATACTGCGTAGAGGATAAACCAAAAACCGCTGTTTAGAGTTGGACAAGTGCAAAAAATTGCCTAGGAGTCTAGGAGTTGGCCAACTCATCCAATCGCACGACAGTTGCAAACCAACTCGCGGACTTGACCCCAGCTGCTGACTGATCCGAGGGGCTTCATTGCCTTGAACTCTTCGCTGGCGTCAAATCCATCTGCGCAGGATTCAGGAGATAAATTGAAGTCCTGCACGCAAGCGACCGATATCACACTGTTATTCTCGCAATTTTGATGGCACAAGCTTGACCATGTTCCCAGGGTCACATCAGTTACAAGCCCCAAAAAATAGACCAGTGCATCAAGAGCCCATAGCTCTCACAGTCCCAATGCTTCGGAGACGGTGCGTGTGACCCAGGAGGTGTGGCCTGAATTCTGCATCCTTCGAAGTGACGGACTCGCCACTAGAAGACATGTGCTCTGGGCTAGGCTTCAGCTTAGCAATGGCTTTGGCACTACGCTTGGCAAAGTACGTGCGCTTCTGAGTTTTAATGCGTTCGCTAAAACGTTCTAAAGGATTGGTTGTCAAGATGGGGGGATTGTCCCAGTGTCTCATCTCAGGGCGGGCTTTGCTTCATGGCACCTGTCTGCTCTACATTTGTGTGGGTCAACCGGCCGCTTGCCTGATCACGAACTTGGTTTTGGTCACCTGTACTTTAATGGGCATTGCCGTGTCAAAGACTCAAATCAATGAAAACAACAACCAGTGGGACCAGTAAAATTCAAAATCAGCTGTGCAAACCGCATGCTGTGGATACCAAACTTGCCCGCGCACCGTCCTGCCAAGTGGTACTTCGCGACGGTCAGTGGTATGCCCATTGGGCGATTGCTTGGTTCCTGCAGTCAAATGTGGGATGCTTGGCAGCAAAAGGGGATGCGGACCAATCTCTTTGCACCAACACTAGTGAACCTGTGCACGCCAAACTTCACACATTGTTTTTCTCAGATGAAAAGCAATGTGTTTTCTCAGATTCCGTGGTTCAAGGGTCTCAACCAATCCCAGTTAACAGTTAGCCCAATGACTCTGACCATGAAAGCCGAAAGTTTCTCGGCCATTACCCCTAGCGATGGTGAGCTACATTACATCGACGGTTTGAATGCATTGGGTCGGTATATGGCAGAAAGGCTGCCCAGTGATTTGAAAGAAAAAAGATTGGTTCCAATCTACGAGCAGCCTAAGCAAGACCTTTTGCCTGGCGACTTCACGCGAAAGCAGGGCATCAAGAAGGATGTTTTGCACCTTGTTTGTCAATTTATTGGAGTCTCAAGTTGGTGGAGCTTTTGGCAGGATTTGTGCAACAACCTGTGGTATGGAAGCATCTTTGTGAGTCTAATTTAGGTACGACAACATTTGGTGGCTAGAGATGCTTCTCACGATGGAAGAGTTTCAGAAGCGCAAGCCTTCAAAGACAGAGCTACAAATCATCTTGTCCAAACTCGATCGGGAATCCCAGGTGGGGAATTTTGTGATTGTATATATTTATTGAGGTTGGGGGATCGAGGGTATATAGGGTTGATTGTGTATTCGCTTCGCGCATGTTGCAGGGGTTGGCAGTTCGTGGGCGATCTGCGGCTGAATGGAGTGACAATATCGATGCGGAGGCCTACAAAATCCAGAGGCTTTGGTCTGCTGGGCGCCGACGGTGGCGCGACACAAAAGCCTCACCGAATGACAGGCTTCAGTCGCGCAAGAAGCTGTTTCAATACTGGGAGCCTTCCACCCCGAAGTCCCATGTTGAAAGGTGGCAAATGGACATTTGCCATGACGGCCATGACCAGTGTTCCCCGTCCAGCGACGGGGCAACTGAGTCCAGTGGTGAGACTGGGGCTAGCAGCGCAGACTCGAGTTTTGACCAGCTTGACCAGTTAATGTTTAATGGGTTCATGACTGGCGTTCTTGCTGGGCCTGATGCTCAGCCCAATTCCTACGATGATGAAATGGATGAACGTCAACCCAAGGCTCCACATGTTGCTGTCAAAGTTGAAGCTGTTCACTGTGGTAAAGTGTAGATAGCGTCGCGTCGGCCTGAATTACTCGTGCTTTGCTCTTTTGCAGGACTCTGTCATCGTTGAGGCCTCTAGTGGGGATGACGGAGGTGAAAGCGATTGTGGCAGTGAAGTTTGGGAGAAGGCCTCCATGCTTAACCTGTGCTTGCTTTAACGGAAATTCGTACATGTGAGCCTGAAACTCGAAGGTCATATCCGTTGGCGTTTTTTTAAAATTCTGCTTCAAGCAGCCAGAATCTACAACGATGTGGGAGATGCGCCGAAGGGGTTCCACAAGGCTGTCTCTGACATCCAGGATTCGCCGCCTTCACCAGTTTGCGTGGGCACAAAACCTGCAGGTTGGGGAGCCATCCTTGCTTGTGTCCGGTTGAACTTCTGCTTTGCAGCTTTGACGAGCGTCTTTTTGAAAGGGGGTTTCCTCGTAGGTGTGAAGAAGGACAAGAAGAACAAGAAGCGGAAATCAAATGCTTCTGCAGCTTCGAGTAACAAGTCTGCCAAGCGCGACCACCCAACACCTGAAGCTTCCCTTGAAGAGGCGCTCTACTTTCTTCGTTTACTTAGACGTCGACGGACTTATTTCAACTTCATTCCTTTTGCGGTCTGTTGGCTTGGTATGTGTTGGGACATGTTGGGACCATGGATTAACTCACTTGTCTTGTAGCTGGCAGGTGGTTAATTCGTTTGAGGATGAGTACAAGGACATCATCCAATCGCTCCCCGATGAGCTGAAACCGCAGTCTACCACCCATGGCAAGCACTCCTTCACTACGTCGGTTGAAGGTTTGGGGAGGATCGAAGTGCTGTTGAGACAGCGCGCGTTGAAATCCAAAGCCACTCCTAGCGGTAAGCCGATCAAGGCTAAGTCGACCCTCAACGTGAATTACACAGTTCTTTACCTGTGCGTTAGCCTTGTTCTGTCTTGTTTGTAGGAGTCTTGCTTGCCCGCCTTATTTGTAAGGATGTCTTGGATCACGAAGGGTGTCGAGGATGCTTGGGCCATCCAGAAGGACATCATGCGCAAAGCCGTGGAGGATGAGGAACAGGGGTGATTGTACAGAGAAACATGTCACATTTGTTTTGACTCAAGGCTGGGGAAGCAGGGGGTACTGCATAGACCTTGGCCTTGTTAGGTCTTAGTTGCATTTAGAGTTTCGAAGGATATCCAGCTTCAACGCTTCTGTCGGGAAGAAATGAAAAGTGGACACCTGCAGCTTTTTTCAAAACGGAATGGATTAAGAACGAACGGAAGAATGGAGGCCTATACCCAGAGTATACCTGTTCGTTTCGCCCATCTGAGGAACTTGATGGCAAGCCGCTGCTTCGCCGTCATCCAGGTCCTCACCCAGCTATGTTTGCCTTGGATGCTGGAGCAACCTTCTTCCAGCATCATGGAGGAACACCCTTTGTTCCGGAGATTGGCCAAGACCCACACCATTTACAAGGCGCAATGTGGATACGAAGTGTGCTAATTTTCCACTTAGATTGGCCTGCGAAAAAGGACCCCCACAAGTCCGGCTTTCACCCTTCAAAACCTGCGTTTCAGGCAGGTTGACCTGGACTTGTGGGGGTCTTTTTTCGCAGGCCAACCCAAGTGGAAAATTGCAAACGAAGTGTGTTGCCTATGATCATGAGCTCAAAGGTTAGCGAAACAAAGCCTTACATCCTCATGGACTCGAAAGCGAACCCCAGTTGATTGATGAGCAGGTTTGCCGTTTTTGGGTGTCCTTTCTGTCATTCTCGCCACGAGGCCTTCATTTGGATGGGTGCTTTTGGAGGCCAGAGTAACTTATCTTATATAGCAGATTGCTAATGTGCTCACACTCTCATGTTCTCTCGGTTGAGAGGCCATACAAACATGTTGCGTGTTGTTTGCGGTCCTGAAAGTCGGAGGTCATAGAATCAATCATGTCGAACTTCAAGTCCAGGTCGAACTTCAAGTTCAGCATTCCTTGGCTCCGAGGCCCTAAACCGACGGTCTTGTACACGAACTACAGATGCTTGTTTGATGGCCTCTTCATCCCACTCCCCCAAAACATTGAGTGGAGCTCCGACATGAGTCGGAAGCAGCTTTGCTATATCAGAACAATTGTATATGAAGAGTGTCCACAACTTGCTTTAGCAGGCCCCAAAGGCAAAAAAGAATCCTTTAAATAAACAGGTAGCAGTCTCATGGTGTATGGGTTTCATGTCAGAGATTTAGGTGGGATCAAGTACCAAAAAGAACGCCCAAATCAAAGTCTATGTTAACGAAAGCCGGCTGGGTTGTGTCACATGTTTCGGTGTAGACCGACTTGGATAACAATAATGCATTTTCCCTAAACATACACGAGCCGAGGTATGTGGACTCGAATGGCAAACGTCGTGTGCAAGGAGGAAGCGACCTCAAAGCAAGCCAGCATTATCCGGCATTGTTCGGACAAATCATTGGCGAAAAGTGGTGTGAGAACAAGGCGTGTCTGATGTGGTGTCACACGCAAGCCTTGAAACCCAAGAGAACTGAGAGTTTTTGACTTGTCTTCTGAATTTGACCTTTCTTTGGGATGCTGCCCTGCTCATTGGATCTCACATCGTAGCCCGAGGACTCACTAATCCCTTATAGGTGTGCCAACCTACTTTCGCAGGCTCATATCCAGACGCAAGTTTCCGAGCGCATGCGCCTCGTCAAATTTATACCGGGGCTCGATATATCATGCCAGCGAATTGCAAGACATGTTGGGATCATATAACTATAATTAACTATTATATGTAATATACTGTATACTCAACACTAAACTCGTGGACTCCCAACCAATGCCACTTTTGCCGCAATGTCTCCAATCCAAGGAAGAAGCTGATGCGCTTAAATCGCGCCATGCCAGCTCTCAAGGACTACCTGAGATGGAAAATCGCCAGTGCTCATCGGGTGGTTTATCTGGTTCTCGGTTCCTTCATGTAAAGTGATTAAATGTATCGGTTCATGGGGCTTCATATGACCAAGAGTGATCAAACTTATCGATTCACGACCAAATGTGATCAAATTTATCGGTTTCCGGATGAAAAGTAATCAAATTTATCGGCTTCCTGATCAAATGTGATCAAATTTATCGGTTTCCGGAATCAAATTTATCGGTTTCCTTATCAAATTTATCGGTTTCTAGATCAAGTCCTGACAAACTCTGCGCAGGACTATGGCTGGGACAAGCACTGCAAGATCCGCGATGCTATCATTGCTATTAATTAGCTTGCCAGCGCTGCTCTTTATTGGCGCATGGCAGATTCCCCAATTAGATAAGCGCTAGGCTCGGGCAGTATCCAGAATCTAAAGACTCTTTACTTGGTTTGAAGTACACCCGGTATGTTTTTTCAAAAAAACATGAGATCCCCAAAAGTGATATTAAAAAAACCGATAAAAACCAATCAAATTTATTGTTTTTGGCCTCTCGCAAATCTTGTCCAAATCGCCTAGATATTGCCCGGGCTTGACGGCTTTTGGGAAGGAAAGTGATGCCGGAATTGAGCTATCTCTGACACCGGCAACAAAAGACCAGCCCCTACAATGGCCATTCATATTCAGATTCACCTTTTGCGCAAGAAACTTCAGTTTTCCAGTGGCATTTGCTTTCTGTAAAGACCACACAGGTTTCATACACAGTTTTTCTGCTTGCAGCCGTGGCATTTTGCTGCACCAAAGGTCAGACAGCTACTCGGTAAGTCTTTGAACCATGTCGGAAGCGCCGCCTTGTCGAGTGAGAGCCAAATCTACAGTCGAGGGAGGTAAGGTGGTAAAGAACAAGAGAGGTAAGAGTCCTGATGGAAAGACTTTGAAAACCTTCTGCACACCGCCACCGCGAGTCAGGTCGGGTAGTGATGGTTCAGGTGAGAAAGTGAAAAGAAAGATTAGCTTCGGCAGCCCAACAGAGGTCGCGATTGAGGCTGAAAACCCGGCAGGCAAAGCCAAACCCAGTGGTTCCAAAGCGAAGGCTCAGCCCATGAGCAAAGAGGAGGCAAAGCGCATCTATGAGAAGTTGAAGGCGCGACCATACCCTATACAACCAGCCGTTTGCTGGACAATGGACAACTATATAATAACTTTTATAGTCTGGAGAGATTCTGGAGAGATATCTATGGTTTTTGTCAACAACGATATAGACGGTAAGGGTTCTTACCGTCTATATGGCTTTGTAGACTTCGGACTTCTTTTAGATACCAGCATGAGCCAACAGACCCTAAAAGGCAATTTTTTGATGCGACCTTTCTTGGTAGTCTGTATTGGTATCTCGATCACTTTCCCGCAGGTTCCAAAGGATGACGCAAAGAGTGAAGAAACCAGTGAGGAGGAGTTGGAGGAAGTGCCGTCCAGCAGTGAAGGTCCCAAGATGAAGAAGAACAAGACAACAGGAGCAGTTACGGTTGCGAAGGTTCCATCTCCATCGATTCTGAAGGGGGGGAAGAAGGAGGTTGGCAGGAAGAAGGAGGACACAACAGAGGCAGGGTTGCGGGTGAGACCAGAATTTCATAGAGACAACATTCGCGGGTGGACATCACAAGGTCCCCGATTCCCAACCCCTCCCAACCTATTGCGTAAGAAAGAGTTGCGTTGAATTCGCTCAAGAATGAAACAGCGGAAGTTGACCGACTGGACAGTAGCAGCAACCTCTTCGAAGGTGAAAAGCAATGATGAAAGCAAAAGTGAGGGAAAACACAAGAAGAGAAAGCATGGTGATGATGACAAGGCTTCGAAGATCCAAAGGGTGAAAGAGGATGAAAACAGCAAGTCTGCAAGTCAAAAGAAGAAGGACGCAGAGGCAGAGGAAGCAGCGAAGGAGCAGACTAAATTAAGTAAAGCAGAGAAAAAGACAAAGAAAGAAAAGCCGATGGAATCAGATGCAGAGACGAAGAAGCAGAAGGTGGCAGAGACAAAGAAGGAAAAGGAAGCAGAGACAAAGAAGAAGGAGAAGGAGGCAGAGACAAAGAAGAAGGAT